GGGAGATCTGAGAACAGCCCTCGGCCTCCAATCTCGATCGAATCATAAGCTGCGTAGCTCTGGCATCGATTTGCCCAAGAAACACCTTGCTGAGATCAACGCGTGAACCATCGTATAAAATCTGCGATGCCATAACTTCCCTTTGGAGCCATTCAACCGCTACGGAGCCACACTTGAAACTCTATGGGCGAGGGTGGGCTCGAGGGGGCGAAAGGGAGATGCGTGCGAGGGCGATTGTTATTTAGACGTGGACTATATAAGTAAGTCGCACATGGCTCACATGATCATATAACAGTAAATCCCACGGAATACACACATGTACCATATATATACATATAAAGCAATGCAAACTAATCCACTTCAACGTTCAAAGCGCACGTGATCAAATAATTCACACTTACACTATGAGCGAGATCTGTGGTGAGTAGGTTTAGGCGTGTAATAAACAAGCCGCGCCTAGCTTCATCTGGTCGCATTTATACTGTAAGCCGATGCACATCCATAAACCAATTCAAACGAACTTACATTGACAATCCAGACGCCCATGGTGCCTAAAACACTCAAGACACTCTCAAGACGAGGGGGGGGGGGGTCGAAGAGAGGCGGAACGTTGCGCATCGCAGTTCGCATTGTACGCATACGAACATCATGTCGTAGCAATCGTCCCGCACTTTGGCTGACTAAACGCAGCCGTGAATACTAGAGAGAAGTAGGCCTGGCCCCGCGCAAGCCTGCTCTAGCCCAACCCAATACACAATAACTCTAAGTGCGAAGCGCGTGAGCCGCCCTCTTGGCCTTGCAGTCCGAGCAATAGCCGAACCACCGATCCTTCGGGCAGCCGATGCCCTCGTCCTTGAAACGCTGCTGCCCCCCCACGCTGTCTGGCTTGTTGTTCGGGCGCTCCGTGACCTTTGCCGCCTTCATGGGCGTGGCCTTTGCCGTCTTCACGGGCGTGACCTTTGCCGTCTTCATGGGCGTGGCCTTCGTTGCCGCCTTCATGGGCGTGACCTTCGCGGCCGTCTTCATGGGCGCGACCTTCGCCGTCGTCATGGGCGTGGCCGCCGTGGCCGTCTTCATGGGCGTGACCTTCCTGGCCGTCTTCATGGGCGTGACCTTCGCGGCCTTCACGGGCGTGACCGTGGCCGTCGCCTTGGCCTTTTCGACCTTCCTCTTCCTTGGCAGCCTGACGGGAGCCAACTCCTGGGCGTGGCGCAACATGTCCCAATCATCGCCAGAGATACCACTGGGCTGCATCAGCGGTGGCGCACGCCCGAGAAACTCCACCACCGCCGAAGCACTCGGGTAGCAGTCGTCATCCGTGCCTGACCCAATCTCCAGGTCAGCCGCGAGCCTCTTGAAGGCGCTCGGGAGGTCCACGTCGCTCACCTCGGGATCTGGGTTCTTGTCCCTCTTGGCAGGCGCACGCGTCGGTGCCCTCCTCGGCGTCCTCGGGGCGCCGTCGTCACCTGCCCCCAGCCCGTCTGCCGACGGCGAGCGCAGGACTTCACGGCGACCCTGCCCGCGCGACCGCGGCCCTGGCGGGGCCGACTGGGAGCGGGGAAGGGCCTCCACCTCCTCATCCACGTTGGTCCGCACCATCCCCATCATCACATTAATGCAATCCACCTCCGCCACGCCTGCCTTCTGGAAGCAGCGGCGACGGGCCTCGGCGACATGCTTCGCATCCCTGAGGTTCGACAACATGATACGAATCATCGTGGACACTGCGATGGCCCAAACCTCTTGCGCCTTGTTCGAGAAATCCGCCTTCTTATCATCATCAACTAATTTCAAGGCTTTCTCGAGCTTGAGGGCGAGGGCGCAGCCGTTCGTGCATGCGACGAGGAGGCGCATGAGCAACGGTTTGATGTGCAACAACAGATCAGCGCGCGGAGCCGTCTTCCACGTGAGGCTGGCCTGCACAACAGGCAAGAGGAACCCGTAGATGTCTCTGTTATCGTTGCGATCCTCCCTGATGAATTTCTCGATGCATTTCTGGAGGTCGCCCACAAATATCAATGGATTAGGATGGTGGCGAGTCGACTGGGCGGGCGCATCACTCTCGGCAGTCGGCATCGCGGTCGACCACTTGCCAGCGGCCATCGCCTCAGGGAGCTGGCACAGAGAGCACAAAAGCAATGTGCGATACTCAACTGTAAAATCAAAAATCGCGCGGAATCACAACTTCTCAAAAAATGCCCGAATCGGCTACGGAGGAGGATGGAGAAGAGGATGTTGTTGTATATTTGCGAACCCAAACTAAACCCAAACTACACCCACACTGAACCAAAACTATAGATCATGTGGGTTGAGTTCGGGTTGAAACTAAACCCAAACTAAACTTTCATGATCGATTCAAATCCAAGGCCAAACTAAACCCAACCCAAACCAAACCCAAACTCAACCCAAACTCAACCCAAACTAAACCCAACCCATCTGAGTTCGGGTTGAGTTTGGGTTTCAATTAAGCCCAAACTAAATTTCCAGTAATATATATGAGAGCAACTTCGAAATACCTGGCCATTCTTTTCCCACCAAACACGAATGGGGCCGGCTCTGAGCGCCCACTCTAAAATTCGAGCACGAAATACAAAATTGCGAAGCCGGAGAACCATGTCAACAAACATATGTCATCATGTCGGAGTGCACAGCCAGAGCCGGTCCCGACCATGTTTGGTGGAAAACATACAAAGTCCCCAAATAGTTTCCTGCCCATCGACCTTCCTGGGAGTTCAGTTTGGGTTCGGTGTCAATCCAAATTCAACCCGCAAGCTTCGGAAAAAAACCTTATCCTACGTCCTTTGTCCCTCCCCTCTCTTTCTACCTTGTTGTGTCAACTTCAACTCTTTTTCATCTCTCGACGGTCTCTTTTCATCTATTTCCCTACTACGTGCTTTTCACTCTCATCTTCCCTCGCAAGACTGCAGTCGACTAAAAGTATAATACCTACTTAGGACAGGGCACGATGCAAACCAGGAGGGAGGACCACGCTATCGAGCTCGACGTCGACGGACAACTTATCACCGCATGCTCCCAATAATAACTACGTCACATCACAATAAACAAACTAGATCTAACGTAAGGCTACACCGATGACAAACCTACCACACCATACATCACAACACCATAAAACAACATGATATGACGTAGACCCACAGAGGTTTATACATGTACATCTATTGTAGCAACACCATTTCGAACAACCTAACCCAACCTAACATAACAGATAACCTAACCTAACAAAACAACCTAACCTAACGGATAACCGAAGCTAATGTTTAGCCTAACCGATAATCTAATTATTGGTTTAAATTTGAGGGCAGCGGGTAGTCTATTTCTTAGGCTTGGGCTAATTCTTAGGGTAACGGTGAGTCTAATTATTAGTCTATTTCGGTAGTCTAGATTAACCGAATCAGGTAACTTTAACCTTCGTAGGTTAGGTTAGACGAATTCGGTTAATCTAGCCGATCGGCTAATTTTAGTCTCATGCAGTCTTAAGGGAAGCGGGGTGGGCCAGCCCCGGCGGAGCGGCGCGCTCGGCACACAAACGGACCCTGACCGCCACCGCCTTCGCCCCTCGAGGCTGCCTCCCCGGGACGCATGGCCCTGCGCCGCACGTGGGCGGCATGCGCGCGGGGGGCCACCAGTCTACGGGGCCCGCAGCGGCGCATGCCGCTCGGCGTGGGCGCCGGCGCCTGGGCCGCCGGCGCCTGGGCCGCCGGCGCCTGGGCCGCCGGCGCTGTGCGGCGCCCTGCGGCGGGCGCAGAGGGACGTTGTTGGCGGCCGGCGATCTCAAGGGTGTGCAGTGCTCCAGGCTTCCCCTGACGCTGCGCTTGGCCCGGAGCGCGCGCTGCTGTTCAGGTCGCCGGTTGCCCGGCTTGTGCTGTGGGCGGCCCAGCAGTGCAGCTCGCGCGTGCAGCACACGCTCGCCAGCGAGGCGTCGGCAGAGCCCAGCAGCGTGCGCGCCCCTGGTCGGGCGCATGCGGAGGGGGGGCCGCGCGGGCCCGGCGGGGGCCTCGGCCGAAGGGGCTCGGCATCATCTCCCGGGTCGGCGGCGCAGAGCGCAGCCAACGTGGCGGCAGGCGCGCTCGGTGCCGCGGGCGCTGGCCGCTCTCGGCCTGGACGAGCGGCAGGGCCTCGCCGGCCTCAGCGCCCTCGGGTCGTGCGCGTCCCGGAGGCCCGCGGCCGCCCCTCCCCCCCCCCCTCCGAAAAAGCAGCATCGCGAAAAACCGCGACCCGAGCCCCCGAACCCCATCTGTCCGGATCGGCCTCCCGCGTGCGGCCCCGGGGCCCGAGGCTGCGTGATGCCGCCCCCCGCGCGACAGACACTGCAACGCCAGGATCTCCAGGCGTGGTCGTTCCCCCCCCTCGTCGTGCGCGGGGCCGCCGCCCTGCGCCGCCGCCGCCGGGGCCCCGTCGGGGGCAGGCGACGCCACCTCGGCCGTGCGTCGGGCCGTGCGCGGCTGGTCGGGGCCGTGCGCGGTGCGTCGGGCCGTGCGCTCCTCCTCCTCCTCCTCCTCCTCCTCCTCCTCCTCCTCCTCCTCCGCCTCCTCCTCCTCCGCCTCCGCCTCCGCCTCCGCCTCCGCCTCCGCCTCCTCCTCCTCCTCCTCCTCCTCCTCCTCCTCCTCCTCATGATCATGATCATGATCATGATCATGATCATGATCATGATCAACATCATCATGATCATCATCATCATCATCATCATCATCATCATCATCATCATCATCAGCAGCATCATCATCATCAATCATCAATCATCAATCATCAATCATCAATGACCAATCATCATCATCATCATCATCATCATCATCATCATCATCATCATCATCATCATCATCATCATCATCATCATCATCATCATCCTAATCCTGCTCCCCAGTCACCCGCATGGCATGGACGAGGAGGAGAAGGGGAGGAGAAGGATGAGCACGAGGACAACGATGATGACGACAGAGACGAGCATGGAAACCGTACCCTGTCCTCTACCCACTCCCCTCCCGTGCTTGTGCCAGGCTCGCCGGAACTGCTGCCAGTAGCTGCGGGCCAGGATCAGCAGCCCGAAGGCCACGATGGCCTGGAAGACGAACCAGTTGAACTCCTCCTGCCGCATCGTCCTGACGACGAGGGACAGGGGGAGTAGGGAGGGAGGGAGGATGAGGATGAGGAGGAAGTGGAGGAAGTGGAGGAAGGAGGAGGAGGAGGAGGAGGAGGAGGAGGAGGCAGAGAAGGCAGGAGGGAGCGCAGGAGGCAGGCGGAGGCAGGAGGGCAGTAGGAGGCAGGAGGGAGGAGGGTTGTGGATGAGGCAGGAGGGGGCGCAGGAGGCAGGGGGAAAGAGCGGAAGAGGGCGGAGAAGGAGGGGCAGGAGCAGCCGCAGGGACAATAATGATAGGAATGCTAACAATATTAATGACAATAATAATAACCATCAACATGATGATATCCGGATTAAAAAATACTACACATACGACTGCGAATGCGGATGATAATGGTAATACTCATCATGCATAGTGATACAGATTTAAAGTTCATGGTGATACCAACACAACTAATCTTATCAAAAAAAGATGAATATTACACACGCTCATTGGAATCGTAACAATAATACTAAACCTACAAATATGAAGAATACGAGAAACATGAACATAATGATAATGAGGACGACAAGGAGAAGGAGGGAGGATCGTCAGCGGCAAAAAGGAAAGAGAGGGAGCTGAAACAGGGGGGCAGAGGATGAGCAAGAAGAGGAGGAGGAGGAGGAGGAGGAGGAGGAGGAGGGGGAAGAGGAGGAGGGGGAGGAGGAGGAGGAGGAGGAAGAAGAAGAGGAGGAGGAGGAGGCGGTGGAGCAGAGGGGGAGGCCAGGGGTGGAGTAGGGGGGTAGCGGCAGGAGCAGGGCCAGCGGGGAAGGGGATGGGGCGACGAAGTCTGTGCCCACCCGCTGCTCCCTGGCCCGGCCCAGCCTGCACCCGGCAGCGGTGTCTACGCCGCGCCCTCCTGGCTCGGCCAGGCGGGCTCGGCCCGGAGAGCGTATAGGAAGGGGCCCCAGGACACACACAAACAAATACACACGAATAAACAGATTCCCCATCGTTTCCCATGTTTTCGGGGGGGGGTCTTTCCCCCCACTTCCCCTATTTTCCCATGTTCTCTGCGGGATCGACGACTAATTGTGTCTGTGTGTTTCTTCCCCTCCTGAGTAGAACTCAGCAGCTCCTGGGCCTGGGGAGGGCCAGGACAGGGGGCAGCGAAGGCGCACAGACTTCGTCGCCCGAGGGGGGGCGGAGCAGCCGCAGCGCAGGCAGGCTCGCCCAGCCGTGCCTCGGCTGCACGCGTGCGTGACCCCAGGCAGGAGTTTACCAGCCTCGAACGTATCCCTATCCCTAAGATGGGCGAGCAAAAAGCGAGGGCAATCTTAGGGATAGGCCCTCAAAAACTGAGGGAATCCTTAAGATCGGCATCGAGGTGAGGTGATGTCAAACATAGGGATAGGGATATGTTCCAGGCTGGTAAAGAGTGACCTTCAGAGCGCGGACTACGGGGGCGCAGGGCGGCCGAATCCACAAGCGAGCAAGCGGCCATGACACCGCATCGCGCTCCGCGATCGGAGAACCCCGGTGAGCCCGCACCAAAGATCACTCCGGCGAAGGGTCACTCTTGCGTGTAGTCGAGTGCCGCTGCCGTGCCGCTGCCGATGCCGTGCCACCGACCCGCAGCCCGCCCTCGCTGCACCCCGCGGGGCAGCGAGGACCGTCGGCCGTCCGGATCCTGCGCTGCGCCGCAGGGCCGCTGGGGGGACGGGGGTCGGCTCGCGGGCGCGCGGGCGCGCGGGCGGCGGCGGCGGGCGACACTTTTGTGTCAGCGGCAAGGCAGACCCCAGACATGATCGCGTCGTGAGACAATCAGGACGGGAGGTTTGGGCGGTGACCTCGGAAAGCTGCTCATCCTGACTGTGCGGGCTGTCTGTACGGCGATGAGGAGGCAACGGCTGGGAGGTCTCCTTCAGAACGAGTGCGGTCGGAAACAACTTTCGACAGTGTGTGTGTGTGTGTGCGTGTGTGTGTGTGTGTGTGTCGCCACCGCGGCCTCGGCGACACGCTATGCTTTGCAAGCTGATAGCGGCCTTGGCTGACACTCTCCGCCCCGCGGGGCGGGAGGCCTCGAAAAGCGCGGGACGTTGACCCCATGGGGGCAAGGACGTGAATGTCGTGTCGCGCCGAGGCGCGGTGGGCCAGAACAAGCGGAGCGACACACTATCCCAAAATTGTCGACCGTCAGGGCCAACAAGCCCGAGTAGAAGTCAAAGGAGCCGGAGAAGGCTGGAATAAACCCGGGATCCAATCGGATTAAGCGGGACTCAGCTGGAGTCGACGGGAGAAAGCCAGATGAAGCAGGACTCGGCCAGATTAGGCTCGCTTTCGACCAGGGATATACAAGCGCCGATTCTGAGTTTCACCTGGAGTTGCATCCCAATGGTGAGGATCGTTCGCTCAGCATGTCGCGGCGGCGGCCCGGCGGGACGCTATGCCCTGCAAGCTGATGACGCTTCGCCCCCCCTGGCGTGGCAGAAGGCCAGGAAGAGCTCGGGACGGTGATGCCTCGGGACTGGGACATGCCCTGGCGTGTCGCGACGAAGCGTGGTGGGCCAGAACTGGCGGCGCGACACGCCACGCAAACGCTCCTGACCATGACCCAGAGGAGGAGGACAAGGAAAAAAGAAGCAGGAGGGGCGAGAGGGGAGAGAAGGGGGAGAGCGGAACGTCAGAGAGTTTATGATGGTGCGGACGAGAGGGAGGCGCGAAGGAAAGCGAAAGGGAGTGAGAGGAGGAGTGAGGGGAGGACAAGGCAACGACGAGGAGGAGGGAGGAGGAAGGAATGGTGGAGGAGGAGGAGGAGGAGGAGGAGGAGGAGGAGGAGGAGGAGGAGCGATAAGGGGAGCTGCGGGAAGAGGCAGAGGGGGACGAGCGCGCACACATCTGAGGGGCCATGGGACACGAGGGGTCCGCTGCGCGGCCACGTGGCCGAGCGCCGATCACACAGAGGCACGCCGCAGGCACCGCCGGGGGCCACGGGCGGGGGGGGGGAAGCCCAACGGACCCCGGGCCTGCAGAGCCGCCCCTGGATGGGGCACCGCGGGGCGGCCGACGGGGCACAGAGGGCGCGGTCAGGGTGGGGGCCGAGGGGGGAGGGCGTCATCGGAGGAGGAGGACCATGAGGATGATGAGGATGGTGATGATGATGATGATGATGAGGATGAGGATGAGGATGAGGATGGTGGTGATGATGCTGGTGGTGATGATGATGATGGAGGCTATGTTGCTGATGATGGTGATGACGATGCTGATGGAGGCTATGTTGCTGATGATGGTGATGACGATGCTGATGATGGTGATGACCATGGTTGTGATGATGATTACGGTGGTGGTGGTGGTGGTGGTGGTGGTGGTGGTGGTGATGGTGGTGGTGGTGATGGTGGTGGTGGTGGTGATGCTGAGTATGTTGATGGCGATGATGGTGATGTTGCTGATGACGATGATGATGCTGATGATGATGAGGAATATGATGATGCTGGTGATGATGCTGATGATGCTGATACGGCTGATGCTACTACAAATGACGATGACGTCGCTGCTGATGCTGATGCTGATGCTGGTGCTGCTGCTGCTGCTGCTGATGATGATGATGGTGGTGGTGATGATGCAGATGATGGCGATGCTGATGATGCTGATGCTGATGATGTCGATGGTGATGATGATGTTGATGATCATAGTGGTGGTGAGTTTGACGGTGGTACTGGTTGTGAGAATGATGCTAATGCCTGATGCTGATGCTGATGGTGGTGATGGTGGTGATGGTGGTGATGGTGGTGATGGTGATTGTGTTGGTAATGATGATGATGCTGCTGATAGTGATGATGATGATGAGGATGATGATTGCAATATTCATGATGATGACGACCTTGAAAATGATGATGATGATGATGCTGATGATGATGAGTATGGTGATGGTGATACTGATGCTGGTGATGATGATGCTGATGGTGGTGATGATGATGGTGATGATGCTGATGATGCAGCTGCTGCTGCTGATGATGATGGTGATGGTGATGGTGATGGTGTTGAACATGATGATGGTGATGATGATGGTGTCGATGGTAGTGATGATGCCGTTGATGCTGATGACGAGTTAACGGCGAAGAGGGGGAGGAAATATGAGTAGGACCAACATAATGGACGAGGGATGGAGGAAGGAGGGAAGAAGGAGAAGGAGGAGGAGGATGAGGAAGACGAAGAGGAGGAGCAGAAGGACGAGGAGAAGGGGGAGGAGGACAGGAGGGAGAAGGAGGAGGAAGACGAGGAGGAGGAGGAGGAGGAGGCGGAGGAGTGGGAGAAGGACGAAGAGGAGGAGGAGGAGGTGGAGGAGGAGGAGTGGAGGATGAGGGGATGATGATGATGATGATGATGATGATGATGATGATGATGATGATGATGATGATGATGATGATGATGATGATGATGATGATGAGATGATGATGATGATGATGCTGATGATGATGATGATGAGGAGGATGAGGAGGAGGAGGAGGAGGAGGAGGAGGAGGAGGAGAGGGAGGAGGAGGAGGAGGAGGAGGAGGAGAGGAGGAGGAGGAGGAGGAGGAGGAGGGGGGGGGAGGAGGAGGAGGGAGGAGGAGGAGGAGGAGGAGGAGGAGGAGGAGGAGGAGGAGGAGGAGGAGGAGGAGGCGGAGGAGGAGAGGTGGCGGGAGGAGAAGCAGGAGGCGGAGGAGGAGGAGGCGGATGATGATGATGAGGAGGAGGACGAGGAGGAGGGGGGGGAGGAGGAGGATGAGGAGGAGGAGGAGGAGGAGGAGGAGGAGGAGGAAGGAGGAGAAGGAGGAGGAGAGGGAGGAGGAGGAGGAAGAGGAGGAGGAGAAGGAGGAGGAGGAAGAGGAGGCGAAGAAGAAGGAGGAGAAGGACGAGTGGGAGGAGGAGGGGGAGGAGAGGTGTGGAGGGATGAGACACGAGGAACACGACAATGCTCCGGGCGAGGAGGCGCGCCGCTCCTCCCGCAGGGCCTCCGCTCTCGGCAGCGCAGGGCCGCTCACTCGACCAGCGCAAGGCGCGGGCGACCCTCCGCCTGTGGCATCGCGGCGAGCCTCGGGGCACGGCGGCAGCCTGACGCACCTTTGAGCGCTGTGCCTGCCGCCCCCCTCGAGGAGAATGAGGAGGAGGAGGAGGAGGAGGAGGAGGAGGAGGCGGACTCAGAGGAGGAATAGGTACCCATACTGCTACCCTTTCCAGGCTTTCCCCTTTTTGGGCCTCCTGGGAGGCCCTCGTCGCCACCGCTGGATTCGCCTCGAAATCCTAGTCAGAACGCACCCTGGGAGAGGTCTGGGAAGGAGCGGTATCGGTACCGTTTGGTTTCCCCGAGGACGAGGGGGCAAAGAATCGGCCCTGGAGAAAGAGGAGGAGGAGGACGAAGAGGAGGAAGAGGAGGAGGAGGAGGAGAAGGAGGAGGAGGAGGAGGAGAGAAGGGGAGGAGGAGGAGGAGGAGAGGAGAAGGAGAAGGAGGAGGAGGACGAAGAGGAGGAGGAGGAGGAGGAGGAGGAGGAAGAGGAGGAGGAGGGGGAGGAGGAAGAGGATGAGGAGGAGGAGGGAGGAGGGGGAGGGGGAGGAGGAGGACGAGGAGGGAGGAGGAGGAGGAGGAGGAGGAGGAGGAGGAGGAGGATGAGGAGGAGGAGGAGGAGAGGAGGAAGTGGAGGAGGAGGAGAAGAGGAGGAGGAGGAGGAGGAGGAGGAGAAGGAGGAGGAGAGGGTGGAGGAGGAGAGGAGGAGGAGGAGGAGGAGAGGAGGAGGAGCAGTAGGAGGAGGAGGAGGAGGAGAGGAGGAGGAGGAGGAGGAGGAGGAGGAGGAGCAGGAGGGGGAGGGAGGAGGAGGAGGAGAAGGAGGGGGAGGAGGAGAAGGAGGAGAAGGAGGAGGAGGAGGAGGAGGAGGAGGGGGAGGAGGAGGAGGAGGAGGAGGAGGAGGAGGAGGAGGAGGAGGAGGAGGAGGGGATCGGTCGCGGCGAGCCCCGGGGAACTGTCCAACACCACCTTTGAGCCCTGAGGGCCGCCGACCCCTCGAGGAGGACAGAGGGGGGTAGGAGAAGGAGTATGAGGAGAAGGAGGAGGAGGAGGAGGAGAATCCGTACTTCTCCTTAGCATCCGTTTGCCCTTTTATTAGCGCCCCTGAAGGACTCAAGCAGCCTCTGGGGACCCCTGGCTCCAGAGACCTCCTCCCTCCTCCCTCCCCTCCTCCTTCTCGTCCTCCTCGTACAAGAACGGAGGATCGGTGATACTCTAAATGCGGTTATCGCTGTGGCGCCACGCAGATTTGTTCTCAAGTGTTGCAGCACTTGCAAGGACGGTGGCAAACTCGTGTTCGAAATGCGGCTCTCGCTGGAGCCTTCCTCAATTACGACGACCCGAAGTTCCCACTTGCGCAACAATTACTCGGATGGCAAACGGGAAAACGACTCCTTTTCAAACTGGGCTCTCGGTTCGAGACTCCCGCAAATTGTATGGACGTGAGATTAGGGGAAAGTGTGCAACACCTACATGGTTGGAGAGCACATCCTTTCTCCAACTGGGCCGTCGCTGGACACTTCACCGAACTTCGTCACTCTGGCTCCCTGCGCGTATCTCAGATCAGAGGATGGAGAGAGGAGCGTCTCGGATGAATGGCAGGCCCACCAGCGATCGTCATTCTAGGGGGATGCTTGCCGCAGCGGGGCGGGGTACCTGTAAGCTACTGTAGGGTCTTGCAGAGACGGGCATGAGGCGGAAGGCGGGAGGGTGTCCAGCAGCTTCGTTGAGGAGTCCTGAGTCTACTCTTGTCCTCCTCCTCCTCCTCCTCCTCCTCCTCCTCCTCCTCCTCCTCTTCCTCGTCCTTGCTCGTCCTCAATCCTCCCTTGTGCTCCTTCCTCCCTCGTCCACCCTCCTCCCTAGTCCTCCCTTCCCCTCCTCGTCCTCCATCGTCCTCCTCCTCGTCCTTCTCGTCCTCCCTTATTTCTCCCCCCCAGCTTGCAGCCATGCCACGGGCAAACGCACAGCGCGCGCGAGGGGAGCCGGGAGGAGCGAGGATGAAGGAGGGAGGAGGGCGGGGCAGAAGGAGGCGGCGGAGGAAAGGGCGAAGTCAGCAGAAGCGAGGAGCGATAAGCTAAACAAGTGTGAGGAGGACGAGGAATGAGGAGGACAAGGGCGAAGAGAAAGAGGTGGAAGACAGTGTGAGGAGGATGATGAGGAGGAGGAGGAGGGGAAGCCCTGAACTGCAGAGGCAGAGCAGCAATCCTCTTCTGATGAAACCGCCTCAACGCATGCCGAGCTACCAGAGCCGGCACGGCTTCAAAATCCACAGTAGGGCTTGAAGTTCAAGGGGCCTTTCCTATGGACCCAGCAATGTTATTTCGCACACGATAGCATCGTCTCATTGGCCCTCGAACATTTACGTAAGCAGTCTTGATCGGTGCAGCACTGCAGATTGAGGGGATCGTGGGGGCATGTGTGAGCTGAGGAGGATGTGGTGGCTTGTCGCTAACACACCGTGCGTGTCGAACGTTGCGAGCGTGTTGACCGCTTTGGCCCTCGGCAAAGGCAGCCACAGCTTCAAGCGACGACCCTCCGTGGGGGCCACCAGTCACCGAGACCGCAGTTTCAAGCGATAACCCCCAGTGAGGGCATCCAAAGAGGAGACGGAAGAGGAGGAGGAGGAGGAAGAGGAGGATGCAGAGGTGGTGGTGGAGGATCTCTGGCAAGCCGGCACTACATTGTAGTTTCTGTCCTCGGTGAGGCACCACAGTCTTAGCACGCCACACAGAACAGTTATGTGATCCCTCGGTGATGACATCTTCAGAAGCTGCCGCACTGTCCCTGGGTGAGGGCCTTGATATACTATACTAGGCTGGGGAAGGATTGAGACATGAGTTGGGATAGGGGGGGGCTACCATGCCCTGCAGTTCTAATTCTCTTTGCCCACGCGGGCTCTCCACTTTTCCGCCTCCCATTGCACTTCTTGCACCTCTTAATCTGCACTCCGGCGGTTTTACGGATTTGTCCTGCCATCGGACGCTAGAATCTTAGGATTAAAATCCGCCCAACGCCAAAAAGGAGAAGGGGGAGGAGGAGGAGGAGGAGGAGGAGGAGGAGGAGGAGGAGGAGGAGAAGGAGGAGGAGGAGGAGGAGGAGGAGGAGGAGAAGAAGGAGCAGGAGGGGGAGGAGGACAAGCAGGAGCAGGACTGGCAGCTGCAGCAAAGTGAGGAGGAGGAGGAGAAGGAGTAGGAGGAGGACGAGAAGGAGCACGCCGACGACGCCGACGCCCGCCAACGCCATGACGACCATGTCGGCGCCAGCGCCGACGACGACGGCGCCCACCAACACCGCGACGACCGCGACTCAAGGTAAAACAGGGCTAGGATCGGGATAAATCGCTCCAGAGCGTTCCGGAGCGCTCTCAGAGCGTTCAGGAACGCTCTGGAGCGGCCGCGGCGCCCAATGCATCCTCCAAACCCGCCGATTCTCAAAGATTTCGAGTTATCCCGATCCGATTTTGTCCCGATCTTCGCGTCGTTTGACAAGGGCAGGGGCGACCTCGGACGCCGGCGGCGTCAGTCGTCGTCGGCGGCGGCTCACAACGCGCCGGCCCGCGGCGCTGCGATCGCGCGCGCGCGGCAGGTGCGCGGCGCGCCTGCCATGGCTCTCGAGCGCGCGGCCGCGGGCGGGGCGGCGGGCGCGGCACACGGAGCGCGCGCACGCGCGCGCCGGCGGGGCGTGCGTGCTCTGGCGCTGGCGATGGGCGGCGGCCGGCGGAGGTCGCGCGGGGCGGCGGAGGATACGGCTGGTTCTATGCGGCTCTGCACGGGGGCCTCCCAGGCCATCTTGCTGGCTGCAGCGGATCGACGCTCAGTCGACGCGAATCGACACTAGATCGACGCTAACGGACGCTGGTCGACGCTACTCGATGCTAAGTCCGCGCTGCTTCATATTTCATATATTTCTAAATGCAAGTCGACGCTGCTGCACTCGAAAGACGGAGTTGCGAGGGCACGCGAAGCTCCCATGACTTGCTGCCAAAGGCTGGGGGGCGGCGACGTGGGGGTAGCAAGGGAAGGAGAATGTCGTTTCGTCCTCTGGCGCGGAACCGGTCGTTACCTGCCCTCCCCCTGGGGTTCGTACGAGGGGGGGGGAAAGGGGGGAGGCTGGACCCCACCCTTTCACATGCAGGTGCTCGCCGTGGGGGCGACCCTTACCGGGAATGATGAAAACACAACCCCTTGGGTAGTCAGCCGAGGGGGTGGCCAATGGCGGGGCGGCGCGGAGCAGAGCAGCAAGGGAGGGGTCGTAGAAACAGGCAGGCAGGCAGGCAGGCGCCGATGCGCGCCCTTTGGAGATTCCGGCGGGGACGCCAGAGCGTCGTTATAGGTCGTAGAACGTGATTACTTCACGAGTCGGAACTTGCCCCATTGATTTCACTGGTAGAATCGATCTTCCACGTTAAATGGCAAAGGGGGCGGTATTCAAAGAAGGGGCAGTCTTGCCTGTCATACGTTTGTACGATGCGACCCATCATTTCGGCCGTACGTTGTGTAGTGTGTATATCAGAGTGAGGGGGCTGAACCGAACGGTCATGCTCTGTCCCTGGGTGCGTGGCTGAAGTGGAATTCCGCGATGCGCATTATTGTTGTTGTTGGTTGTTGTTGTTGATGTTGTTGTTGTTGATGACGTTGTTTGTGTTTGTCGTCGTCCCACCCAACCCGCGACCCACCCCGCGACCCACCCGCGACACACCCCGCGACACACCCGCGACACACCCGCGACCCACCCCGCGATCCACCCGCGACCCACCCGCGACCCACCCACGACCCACCCCGCGACCCGCCCGCGACCCACCACGAGACCCTCCCGTCGACCCACCCGCGACCCACCGGCGACTCACCCGCGACCCACCCCGCGACCCACCCCGCGACCCACCCGCGACCCACTCGCGACCCAACCGACCCACCCGCGACCAACCCGCGACCCACCCCGCGACCCACCCAAAATTTCGGCGCCTGCGGCGGGCTTCTTTGCATTCGTTCCAGGTGGAGAACCTGCGACCCACCCTCGACCCAAACCGTGCCCGCGACCCACCCGCGACCCACGGCGTCCCACCCGCGACCTACCCGCGACCCACCCCGCGACCCACCCAAAATTTTCGGCGCCTGCGGTTGGTT